AGGGGAAGGTGAGCAGTAAGGTCAGAGGGCACAGGTTAGAGGAGAAAGAAGAAAAGAAATATAAAGAAGAAATATGAATTAGGGGCAGAATAGAAACACAAAGGGAGATGAAGAACAATGTTGGACAGCAAAGGAGCAAGAAAGAGTGAAAGAGAGAAAGAAAAGAGAAAAAGAAAACAGAAAAAGAAAAATTTTAAAACAGTAGAAGAAGAGAAAAAATCAAAAATAAGAGCAAAAATAAAATAGTGGTAATTTTGAAAATAACAAATAAAAGATAAAAATGAAGGGCCTCCTTCACACTATATCTGTGCTGTCACAATAAACAACTTGGTCAGCAGTGTGCAGTTATAAGTCAATGATTCTCAGTAAGCAGTCGCAGACCCACGAGATTCAGGCAAATTTCTGGCTGCAAGTCCCAAGTTGAGTTCCCTGTCCTCCTGCAGGGTTAAACCCTGCAAGATTCTATTACAGGTTCTAGCTGCCTTTCCCCTGAATATAGTCCAGGTTCAAATGGGAGGTGATGATCTCTCCAACTTACCAAGTACAGTGGTCTGGTGTGCCTTTATTGCAGAGATTCTCTTCACTTTTCCAGTGGTCTTCAGTTTTCATCAGGGAGCGTGAGAGAGGCCCTCTCTCTGTTGTTCACTTCTGCAGCTCAGGGCAATGGACTTTATGTCCCCTTGTGCCTCTGGCCAGAGGTTGGGGGGGGCTGTGCTCTTGCTAAACTGGAGGCTGGTGGGCGTGCTGGGTGGGAGGTCTCACAGTCTCCTGGATGCAAATGGGCGGGGTAAGCTGGATGGAGCTGGGCACAGCCACGTGACATTTCTGACCTCAATGCCAAGCTGGAGGCTGGTGGGCATGCCCTGGTTTTTCTTATTATACTTCCTTTTTGTCCATTATTTTTCTCACTAGTGGTATAAACACCCAATTTTCTGCATAAATAACTAGATAATGTAAAATAACAAGTGAACTTAGTTTCTTTCTACATTTGTAAAAAACTTTAATGTTGTATAAATATAAAATTTTAATTTTGAAAATATATTTATCTAGTACAATAATGGCTATGAGAGAAATTTTATTGGTAATTTTTAAACTTTATTTTTTCCCAAATAGACAAGATGCCCAAACTTGTTTTCTTAATAGTTACACACATCTTTGCATCATGTTGACTTGACAGATTAGTGAAGTTCCTTTCTTGGCAGACTTGTTTGTTCCATTAAATTTAAAATTTGGATATCATGGTTAGGGTTGAGTAAATAAGTTTCTGCCTTTTCAGATTAGTGGTCTTTTGTGCCCATAAAATATTCATTGCTTTCGATGAGTCAAAAATGGCAGCCAGAATTTATTTACACCAAAGACATTAAGATAATGGTTATTTAAGGTAGTTGATAGTTCACTATGTGCCCTAAATGTCCCAGGAATAAGGCTTGCTACTAAGACAGGTTTGCCTGTTACTTTGACCGTAGGCAAAACTTTCTGTTATTGGAAAGAAAGAATGTCTACCTCTTTATGTATAACAGAATCCACCAAAAAATGTGCACACATTTCAGGAAAAGAAAAATAATATGATTTTTTTTCAACAGATGGTGCTACCTTTGTAGGAGACCCTAGAGGATGTCCTATATCACAAAAAACTCACTATACTTCCAGCCCTTGGAGAGAAATTGAAAATGCATTTACAGCAATCTCAGTGATCAAGGTTACTCAAGCAGCAGTTTGCTATACTAATAAATGTCTGGAAGCTAATAGCCATGATTTTGAGCACCTCTTGCAATTGAAGAAGCCAAAGATAACTTGTATTAATCTCATGATTTCTCAATAAATTTAGTATAAATATTTGTACAAGATTTTCTTTCCTTGAAATGTGTATACATTTTTGACAGCCTCTTTCTCCGTATATAATATAT